CCCGAGATCCGTTTTTGGCTACAGCCTCACCAAGCCTTTGCGTCAGAAGAGCCACTGAATTCTAATCCCTTCAGGAGACGGAATGTACGACAAGGTTGTACGACCAGGCCATAAATCATAGCTGCCCAAATTTTACAATTACAAAACATTCCGTCACAGAGCCCAGAATGAGATGAGGCGCTAGATTAGTGGACAAGAGGGCAACAGTATGAGTAAAAGTAACAGAATCAGGTGGAGCTGCGGCGTCTGAGCCAAGCGTTGCAGCAACATCGAAGATCCGTACCGATAATCAGAGCACTCCTGAACGAATACATTTCACTATTCAATTCACCGATCTATCTCTTTTCCAAATTACTTTTTCCGAAAGGCAGCAACACTCGTGCCGAACTCCCCTCCCTTTCTACTACAATGCAGCAATTACTAGCGAAATTCGCCATTCGCTTATTTGCAAGCAACCCTCAAAAGATGGGAGCAGTTTTGCCAGAGTGTGGTTGTTGGTTAGCACAAAACGGAGCTGAAAGACGTTTCGCTAACAACAGCAACGATACGCAACCTGAAGCGTAGAGGAAGCGAAAATTCGGAGTATTTTTCGAAAAAAAAAACGACTGCAGGGGACAAACCATGATGCGGATTCCGGCTGGTGTATTGGCGATATCACCGAATCGACGCACACTCGAATAATGCTCGCCGTTATGATAGGAAAGGTGAAGTTCCGGTGCGTTGCTGTCTTCGGTGCCCTGGATCTTCCAGAGCGGTCGATTTAGCTGGTGAATGATGATGTTCACTTCATGAAGCCGTGCAAACGCAACAAGAGCATCTTGACCCGCATAAGTACCCGGACGGCTCAGATCATTCACTGAAACAACACAACTGTCGCACGACAAAAGAAAGCAGGGCTCTGTCCATGATAATCGCAATAGCACGGGACGAAAACGACAGTAGGCAATGATAGTTTCGTAACAATTTGAGAGACCGGTGAAAAAGCCAGACTGGCAATTACAAGCAAAAAAATTGCATACATTTCTACAAAAAACAAGAAAAAAAAAAACATTTTGAAAAGCTCACCATAACGATCAAAAGGGACATCAATGAACTGCTCGAAGTGACCGCGATGATTCACCATATACTGCACTGTATCGAGGCG